GTCGTGCATTCTGGATTCAGAAGAAGTAATGGTCCCTGATAATAACGCATTGGAATTCCACTTACAACAAAAACTTGTCAACATACGTTTTAACATTCTGCTTTTTTAACATGTAGTTATATACATATATTTTTTTTGTGAACAGAGAGGAGAGCTGAGTGAGTGAGTGAGTGAGTGAGTGAGTGAGTGAGTGAGTGAGTGAGTGAGTGAGTGAGTGAGTGAGTGAGTGAGTGAGTGAGTGAGTGAGTGAGAGAGAGCTCAGTCTCTTGGCACATGAGAGGACAGATAAGTAGAGAGAAGCTGGGCTAAGCCACTCACTCTGGAGCTATTAGACCCATTTCAGAGAGAGACAAACTCATGTTCATAAAAACTAATTTGAGTCACGGCTACAGCCATAGCACGCACACAGACAACCATGCCAAAACTCTTCTTCTTCTCTGGTCTGTTGCTGTTACAAACCTAGTCAAGTGGTGTTGTGGTACTTCTATAAAAATGCAGACAATCTTAGGAGCGTCACAGTTGATAATTAAAAAATAATGACAGTTAAGTTTAGTAAAGTACAGGTGATTCAAGGAAACACTGTATATTTTATTGTAATAATAATGAGGACTTCTCTGAAATCTGAAAACGCTTAATCCATTTGTAAGAGTGTTTTCGCCGTGGTCCATCAATTGGTGTTGGCTGTTGAATGATGCTGCTAGCTTTCAGAAGGGAAGTAGGCCTAAGTTTTCTCCTATCATGATCAATAGAAAATACACATTATTTCATTGCAGTCTCAGAGGCTGATATAAATGGAATTATTTTTGTCACTGAGCCCAATATCTGTGACTCTCTCAACACTTCACATCCCTACATGAAGGTTAGCTAAAATGGCTGAGCTTGATTTAAAAAAAAGCAGAGGATAGAAAATGGTGCTTTTATACAGGCCAGAGCTGAGAGAGAGAGAGAGAGAGAGAGAGAGAGAGAGAGAGAGAGAGAGAGAGAGAGAGAGAGAGAGAGAGAGAGAGAGAGAGAGAGAGGGGAGAGAGAGAAAGAGAGAGGAGAGAGGAGAGAGAGATAGAGGGATAAAGGGATTTACTTATTCATGGTGGGCAAACAGTGCCCAGATGGTCTGGCGAGGCACTATCTAATTACTTGTAGCATGGTTTCCCCAGCTGTGTCAGGAAGTCAGACACTGTTGCTGTCTTCTGGAAGAGTACTGCCACCATCTGGACACAGAGTTTTAATACAGGCAATAAAAAATACTTGTCATAGGCTGAAATGACTTGGGGGAGATCCTAAAGGCAGGTGCTAAAGTGATGATAGTTATCCGAGGGTTGGGCTGGGTTTACATTTATGCAAAGCATTGTTTTATATATTTTATGTAATAGATAAATGCTCTGAAAATCTGTATTTAGTTCCTGTTCTATTCAGATGTTTGTCCATATAGTACTAGAACTCTTCAGCCTTCCAAAAACCTATTGTGACACAAAAGTTATTTTGGGGGGTTGTGACATCACTTTGTGATGACGCTGCCACTCTGAGTGAATAGACACTACGGCTACTGCAAACCCCCTTCTGGGGTCACTAGGTGCACCTCTCAGGTGTGTTTTGCTCAGAGAAATGTACAGAGGTACAGTGCAGACCGTGGCATGTCCAGATATCCAACGTTGACATACTGAATAGGAAACTAGCTCCATTGTTTGAATTTGAGTCCATGCTCCAGCTTTCTATAGAGTGGTGATTATGGCGAGGGAGTGAGTCCGGACGGGAATCAACATTAGAAGTGAGATATGGAAATGGTTTACAAGTGCCTGATTCTCTCCTTGTTCATCTTCTTCTTGGCATTTCAAAGCAATATCCTCATGGACAGGAATAATGAAAAAGTTGCCTTGGAGTTTCTTAGCATTTTCTGTAATGTCAGTTCACTGAAGATGGAACTTAGAACAGACATAAGTGAAGACTTGATTTATGACAAATGGATGGAGTCCATCTCGAACATTCTCAGAATACACAAAGTTGAAGCATTGAGGATGGAAGAGGAGAGCATACTCTACTACATTATGATGTGTATCAAGGTGGCCTTGCTGTCTGTAAGTCCTGCCATCCCAGACCATCCAGATCTCCGATACAGAACAACCTCATGGACAAACACCAACCAGTCCAGAGGCCTTCTTCTGTCTTCTATGGAATCACGTGGACTCTTCATCTTGTCGGTCATCATCATTCCAGCTTGCATTTGGAAGGTAAAATTGGGGATAATACAATTGGAATAATTTGCTTTGACTTCTATTTTTCTTTTTTGAATTGATGAGATCCTTTGTGTTAAAGTCCTTCAAAGCTTGTTGATCATCAGGCCATTCTCTTGTTTCTTGTCTAAGATCTACCAGAGGTGGAGGAGTACAGAAACAGACCCAGAAGCAGGACATCAGGGCAGAGAGACTCCAAATACACCTCCACCTGTACAACTGGTCGTCTCCCAGTCTGACCTGGAAGGGATGCTGGCGCTGCTGCAGAGCATCCAAGGTCACCTCGATCGCTTGGAGAAAAGGTGTCGGAGTATCAGGAGGCCACGGACGAGAGAGAAGAAGAGGCGGGTGATCCGGCTCATGAGTCAAACTGAGTCCAACTCCTCCTCGCCCTCTTCGTGAACATCACATGGGAAAGACACGCTGCAAGATCAAGTGGTAGCAGGCAGTGTTGTGGCGAGGGAAAAAAGGCCTGCACAGAATGTGGATAAATACATCTGACTGTATAACTTATTTGCTTATTAATGTATATTTATTATTGGGAAATAATTGCCAATAGATGACAGTTCAACGTAAATAGCTGATAATGTACTAGGCGTATGAGAGAACTCAGTTACCCATGAACATAGAATTAGGAATTAGAATAGTAGGTTTTGGATTTCTCCCTGACCAAGATGGCTGCGTCATTTTCACCCCATTATGGAACTTTGAGGGTTTATAGGATATCATGGCTAGAATGGATCCAGCTTTTGTCAAAATAATGTCAATAGTTTCATTTTTGCTAACCCTAACAATTTTCCTAATCTTAGCCTAATTCTCCTAACCGGCTATGTTAATTAACCTAATCTATTGCGTAAGTTCTCTTAACCTGCTACAAAAAGTCAAATCTGACGTTTAATTTGACAAAAGCTGCATCCATTCTAGCCATGACCATAAACCACATTATAAACTGGTTGGTTCGAGTCCTGAATGGTGATTGGCTGACAGCCGTGGTATATCAGACGGTATACCATGGGTATGACAAAACATGTATTTTTACTGCACTAATTTAGTTGGTAACCAGTTTATAATAGCAATAAGGCACTTTGTGGGTTTATGGTATATGGCCAATATAACCCTTAGCCGTGGTATATTGACCAATATACCACACCCCCCTCAGGCCTTATTGCTTAAGTAGACACACTGGAAGCTCATGTAGTTTATTTTGGTTGAGGGACACGCTGCTTATTTGAAATGGAAAAGCTTCTCGGTAGCTACTGACAAAGAAGAACATCAAGACGAAGCAGCTTAACAAGTGGGACGCGCTGTTGAGCGCTACATCCCGAGGGGTTTGTGCTGATTGTACGGAGATTGTGACAGCCGGTTAAATGGCGTCCCTTGAGAGGGCAAGGACAAGACGTATGTCAGGAGAAGTGCAGTATTATCACAAGGAGACGTATACTTGCAATACGGAGGAGGAGTGGAGGGAGAAAGAGAGGCAGAGGAGGTCTAAGAGAGGAAGGAAGAGGGTGAGATTGAGTCTGTAGAAAATGGCGGAAGAAAGGGAGATGGTTTGATAAAGAAGAATGGTAGAAAGTATAAGCAGAGTGAGCTGTACGACGGATCAAGGACAGGAGGAGAAATGGATGTGATTGAGGGCGAAGTATAGGAGGTGGTAGGTGTGGTGAAAGAAGCGGTATGTGTTAATTGTAGGGGTGCCCATGGGGCTAGGGATCAGAAATGTCCCGTGCAAGAGACGCAGGTTGAGGTTTCCAGGGTAAGAGTAGTGCAGAATTTGTCGTATGCTGAGGCAGTGAAGAAAGTAGAGGAAGATGGGTCAAGGGGGAGGGATCCTGAGAGGAGTGGTGTGAGTAGTAGATCTGTACCAGTACAGAGGGATAGGCCAACAAGTGATATATGTTTTAGTAAGATTGGATTTTTAGTATTTATAGCAATGGTTATCAACTGTACTGCAGGGATGGAACGTAAGTCACATAAAATTGAGGTGGTGATGGCAGATGCAGAGAGGTATTTGGGTGTGTAAGACTTTGTGTCAGAAGAGTTACAGGGTGTGTTAAGTGGTGGTGTCCCATCCTTTCAGGCCTGAGGTAGGACTAAATAGATATAAATAGTGGAGTAGGGTGGTGGGTTGGTGGGAGTTTAGTGAGTGTAGGGTTAGATGGTAGGGTGTTTGTTGATTTATTATTATTTATTTCAAGCAAAGTATAAGGGAGTTATACTCCAGTGTAGTAAGTGGCTAATGCAACATTTAGTGGATGCCAACTGCCGTTAAACCTCATCGAAGAAGAACATGTAGCAAAGATTTTTATAACTAACCAAAGATAGATCACAGCCTGTCGTTTCCAAAAATAACAAATGAGCCATAGTGGGCAGAGCCAAGCACAAGCTAGCGAGATCCTATTGGTGCGTTCTACCAAATATTTGTCAAGCGCACTACCTAAATTCTACTTTGCACTCCTTATAAACAACGCGATTTTTAAAAACGTCGGCAAAGTCTACAAAACTTAGTCCACTCTGTTCATAACATATTCTAGTTTTAAGAACATAAAACTGTATTGAGATCAAATATTTCATCGATGAGAAAATGTGCAGAATATCGGCCAAAATCCATCTCGTTCCATCTTCTCCCACCGCCGGCAACTGGGCTTCCTATCACTACCATATTTGCTAGTGAGTGGAAACTCCAAGCGGATGCTTCACATTTATACATCCGGTGAAATATCATCGTCTCATTGTTCTATCTGTGCATGTAGTTTCTTCTCGGATGTGACGTAGGAGGGTTGACTGTCAACATGTAAGATGGCGGCCCACCACAGACAGAATGGCGCTGGGCGAAGGAAAGTACAGGTACATTTATATTTCTGTATTACAACTGTGTATTCATGAAAATGCACACTATTCCATATAGTCTGACAATGTACAGCACTAATCTTAGAAAGACAAGGAGGCAAATTGCAATCCAAGAATGCGTCTCTCGTTACTGTTGACTCACCTCAAGCTAGCTAACGTACATGCTAGTTAGCTAGTATGCTAAACACACACGATTTGAAGCATGATTAGCTCGAACAAAGTATCGAACTTGAGATGTCCGACATAAAATTAAGTTTAATAATTGGTGCATTTCTTAGGGTATGTGTACATTGTCATTGAATTGCGATTCAAACACGTTAGCTGTGTCAGCTAGCTAACGTTAGCTAGGATCTTGAAACGTTAGCCTGTAGTTTACAAGCTAGCTAGCTAATGATGCGGACTGTGATCCTCGATGAACTAGCTAGATAAGTTAATGTCGTAGAGCTTCAGCCAACTTTTGGCCAAAGCGGGCAATGACTTGTAATGCTATGAGACCAACTCAGCCATTGACACAGCGTTAGTCGCGCATGCGCCAATGCTATAGCAGGGGTGTGTTCAGGCTATTATTGACCATCCCACTCCAACTTTATTTACAGGTGTCTTATGTGATAAGAGACGAGGTGGAGAAGTACAATCGCAATGGGGTGAACGCTCTTCAGCTGGACCCTGCACTGAACCGGCTCTTCACCGCTGGGAGAGACTCTATCATCAGGATATGGAGCGTCAACCAGCACAAGGTACTGTATTGTGGCCCAGTCACCCCTTGATAAAATCCTAGCATATCCCCATCATATGGAAACCCTTTTGTGAGCTGGTTTCCTGGATAATCTCCATTGAATGTGTTTTTAGTCCACGACTAGCCTTAATCTGTGTTTGGGAAACCGGCCCTGTCACCATGTTAAGTCACGGTCATCCCGAGTGGCGCAGTGGTCTAAGGCACTGCATCGCAGTGCTAGCTGTGCCACTAGAGATCCTGGTTCGAATCCAGGCTCTGCTGTAGCCGGCCGCAACCGGGAGACCAATGAGGCGGCGCACAATTGGCCCAGCGTCGTCCAGGGTAGGGGAGGGAATGGCCTGCAGGGAGGTAGCTCAGTTGGTAGAGCATGGCGTTTGCAACGCCAGGGTTGTGGGTTCGATTCCCACGGGGGGCCAGTATGAAAATAAAAAGAATAATGTGTGCACTAACTGTAAGTCGCTCTGGATAAGAGCGTCTGCTAAATGACGTAAAATGTAAATGTTAAGTGAATGTTATTTTACCATAGCAGGACCCTTACATCGCTTCCATGGAGCACCATACAGACTGGGTCAATGACATCGTCCTCTGTTGCAATGGAAAGACATGTGAGTATTGTTAAGTTCCCCAGCAAGAAACCAAAAATTGTCGCTCAGACAGAACGGGGAACTAACAGACACTAACAACAACCAAAACTGGTGGGGTTCTAAGAGTGAGTAAGTAGCTTTGCAAGAGCGAGCCGGAAGCGTGAGGCTGCTTAATGTACAAGTACACCCCCTGGACAGGACGCTAGTCTATCGCAGGGCCTTACCCCCCCCGATCTATCTCCTTAAAGCTGAGTGCCAAACAGAGACACATCGGGTCCCATTTTTACAGTCTTTGGGATGACTCGGCCAGGGATTGAACTCACAACCTTCCAATTTCAGGGCGGACACTAACCACAAGGCCACTGACTTGGTCAGGTTTCTAAAAGACATTAATGGTGTCCACTGAAAGTTGTCTAGCAACAACAACTGGGACCTAAAAGACACCCACCATGAGCGCCCACTAAATTTGCCCAAGAGGCAAAGAAAATATAAACCAAAGTTAAAGACAAGAAGAAAACCAGAAGGTGGAGCAAAATGAAACCAGGGAAGATCAAGGATTGTTTTTTTTATTTAAATCAAATAGAGACTGAAGGTGCTAACCCGCAACATCTCTCAAGAGCACTGGGCCAGCCACTCTTAAATATCACCTGTGCCAGCACAGGTGAAACACCTTCCGACTAACGAGATGGACAAGCCAGCACAGGTGTAACACATACTGACTAACGAGGTGGCACCAATCGGTGCGCCCCACGTGCTAATGTCCAACCACGAAATATATAAATCCAAAAACCAAAGCCTGTAACAGTATTGAACACTGCATAGCTAGTAGCAACATCAAACTACGACAGTCATTCTGTCATTATCAGTAGCCTAATGTATTTGTTGTAATCCATTCTGTTTCTATATATTTTTTTTTTTAATTCTTTCTTTCCAGTGATATCTGCTTCATCAGACACGACAGTGAAAGTGTGGAATGCACACAAAGGATTCTGCATGTCAACGTTACGGACTCACAAGGTGCATTTTCTTACAATCCATATTTGGGCTATGGCTGCAGTTCTTTTGGTTCAGTAATATGATGTCCATTTACAAAATACTGTGTTAAACAGTATAATAGAGCATTCCTATTTGAAAGAAGAAGAAAAAGTGATGTTGATTATGTATTTCCCCCGTGGCAGGACTGTGTGAAGGCCAAAAAGTGATGTTGATGTTGTATTTCCCCCGTGGCAGGACTGTATGGCCAAAAAGTGATGTTGATGTTGTATTTCCCCCGTGGCAGGACTGTGTGAAGGCCAAAAAGTGATGTTGATGTTGTATTTCCCCCCGTGGCAGGACTGTGTGAAGGCCAAAAAGTGATGTTGATGTTGTATTTCCTCTGTGGCAGGACTATGTGAAGGCGTTGGCGTATGCTAAAGACAAGGAGCTGGTGGCGTCAGCAGGGTTAGACAGACAGATCTTCCTGTGGGATGTCAACACACTAACAGCACTGACCGCCTCCAACAACACTGTCACCAGTAAATGTTATTTTCTTGATTTATACAATATTTAGAAGTTGAGTCCCATTGAGTTAAAAAATCTTTGCAGGATGGGTTCGCAGACACAGATTAAGCCTAGTCCAGGACCAAATAGCATTCTCAATTAAGATTCTCCATTGGTTTTTAGTCCAGGACCAAATAGCATTCTCAATTAAGATTCTCCATTGGTTTTTAGTCCAGGACCAAATAGCATTCTCAATTAAGATTCTCCATTGGTTTTTTAGTCCAGGACCAAATAGCATTCTCAATTAAGATTCTCCATTGGTTTTTAGTCCAGGACCAAATAGCATTCTCAATTAAGATTCTCCATTGGTTTTTAGTCCAGGACCAAATAGCATTCTCAATTAAGATTCTCCATTGGTTTTTAGTCCAGGACCAAATAGCATTCTCAATTAAGATTCTCCATTGGTTTTTAGTCCAGGACCAAATAGCATTCTCAATTAAGATTCTCCATTGGTTTTTTAGTCCAGGACCAAATAGCATTCTCAATTAAGATTCTCCATTGGTTTTTTAGTCCAGGACTAGCCTAAATCTGTGTCTGGAAAACCGGTATCTGTTGAAGCGGGAATCAAGCTTTCGTTTCATACCGCAAAGCCTTTTATTTACGATGCAGTACGTTTCCCTTAACATAAAGTGTTTCCAAACACAAACCTGTGCGCTGACCGTTGGAATCTAACCGTTGTGTGTGTGTGTGACAGCATCGTCCCTCAGTGGGAACAAGGACTCCATCTACAGCTTGGCTATGAACCAGATGGGGACAGTCATCGTGTCTGGCTCCACTGAAAAGGTTAGAGGGCAACATTTAGTCACCTTTTTATTTTTCCAGGTTAAAGTTCACGTTTTTATTTGAATTAATACAATTGAATTGTATGTCTACAGTTGTTAAGGCAGTTGCGGCTGCTTTTTGAAAGTTCACCTTTTATTTACCAAGCACAAGGTCTATTGCATATTTGTAGACATGCGTTGGACTTGAATACACAGTTGTTGCTGGGATTTTAAAGGTTGTTGTCTCTTCAATCCGTTGACGTTTCATCAGGTCCTGAGAGTATGGGACCCTAGGACGTGTGCTAAGCTGATGAAGCTGAAAGGCCATTCCGACAACGTCAAGTCTCTGTTGCTGAACAGGGACGGCACACAGGTACGGTATATCTCAAATCAGCACGGATGATACATTTTCAGAAAATGGTTATAAAAATAAAATAAAAAACTATGTGAAACGTAAGCGGTTCTGCCAGAACTTGGTCCTAAAAGAATGAGTCATTTCCTTTTCCGTCTAGAAAAAGTTTTGCTACGTTGTGCACTGCTAAACACAACCCTGGTCTGAATGGGCTAACTCCCTCTGTGGTTCACCCAGTGGGGGGAAATGTATCTGACGCTCTATTACACTAACCTTCCTGTTTGGATGTCCATCAGTCTAACTCTCATCTCTCTGTGCTTCCAGTGTCTGTCAGGCAGCTCAGATGGGACCATCAGGCTGTGGTCTCTGGGGCAGCAGAGGTGTATCGCTACGTATCGGGTCCATGACGAGGGGGTGTGGGCCCTGCAGGTGAACGAAGCCTTCACACACATCTACTCTGGAGGCAGAGACAAGAAGATCTACTGCACTGACCTGAGGAACCCTGATATCAGAGTACTCATCTGTGAAGAGAAGGCCCCTGTACTGAAGGTAAGGGCATGTTGTTTGTGTAGCTCGGTTGGTAGAGCGTGGCGCTTGCAACGCCAGGGTTGTGGGTTTCGATTCCCACGGGGAGGTGGGGGGCAGTATGCGTGTGTTTTCTCCTGTGTTATGTTTATGTGCGTTTCTGTGTATGTGTATTAACCTGGGTCTGACATGGGCTATCCCTCTCCTCCTCAGATGGAACTGGACAGGTCAGCTGACCCTCCTCCTGTTATCTGGGTCTCCACCACAAAGTCATCTGTTAACAAATGGGTAAACACTAAGTGTGCCTGCCTTCCGGATCATTCTGAGGCTTTCTAAGGGTCAGGGGTTGGGGTCAATTCAGTTTTCGATTCCAGGAAGTGAATTGAAATTCACATTTATGACTTAAAATCGTGTCTTTTCAAAGATTTCTCAATTTAATGTTTCTGTTGCAGTCTCTAAAGGGAATCCACAACTTTCGGGCATCTGGGGATTATGACAATGACGTCACCACTCCCCTGATCCCACTGTGTACAACGCCTGAACAGGTCATCAAAGGTACGACTACACTAGTGGGTGTGGAGTGATCTACTTAACTGGAAACAGTTTTCACATTAATCTCAGTGCAAGCTGTTCGATGCCCTCACTCAAACAGCCCCTCATTGTTTTAAACTATCTCTAACTGAATGCAGTGGCTATGAGGAGAGGCAGAAGGGACACTAGTTTCTAACCATGAACTAGGCTTGGGCGATATACGATTTATAGTGTATACCAGGTTATTTTCGAAATACCGATGGTATGATTTTCAATACCCTCCAAAATAAGTGTGTGAGATTATATATATATATATATATATATATATCTCACACACAGTGCATTCGGAAAGTATTCAGACCCCTTGACTTTTTCCACATTTTGTTAAGTTAAAGCCTTTATTCTAAAATGGATTAAATAGTTTTTCCCCCTCATCAAGCTACACACGACTCCATAATGACAAAGTGAAAACAGAAATACCTTATTTAATAAGTATTCAGACCCTTTGCTATGAGACTCGAAATTGAGCTCATGTGCATCCTGTTTCCATTGATCATCCTTGAGATGTTTCTACAACTTGATTGGAGTCCACCTGTGGTAAATTCAATTGATTGGACATGATTTGGAAAGGCACACACCTGTCTATATAAGGTCCCACAGTTGACAGTGCATGTCAGAGCAAAAAAAACAAGCCATGAGGTCGAAGGATTTGTCCATACAGCTCCGAAGACAGAATTGTGTCAAGGCACAGATCTGGGGAAGGGTACCAAAACATTTCTGCAGAATTGAAGGTCCCCAAGAACACAGTGAGGCTGGTAACTAATGAACTTATCCTCTGCAGAAGAGTTAACTCTGGGTCTTCCTTTCCTGTGGCGGTCTTCATGAGAGACAGTTACATTATAGCCTGCCTTGTCACAACACAACTGATTGGCTCAAACACATTGATGAAAGAAATTCCACAAATTTAACTTTTAACAAGGCACACCTGTTAATTGAAATGCATGAAGCTGGTTGAGAGAATGCCAAGAGTGTGCAAAGCTGTCATCAAGGCAAAGGGTGGCTACTTTGAAGAATCTCAAATATAAAATATTTATTTAACACTTTTCTTTTGTTACTACATGATTCCATATGTGTTATTTCATAGTTTTGATGTCTTCACTATTATTCTACAATGTAGAAAATAGTAAAAATAAAGAAAAACCCTAGAATGAGTAGGTGTGTCCAAACTTTTGACTGGTACTATATATATATATATATCGCCCCTTTACATTCGGTAATACAATATATCCCTATGGTACAGAAATTGTATGAAAATCTGGATACCGCCCAACCCTACCATGAACAGGCTCATAACTCTTGCTGCTGGTATGGTCTTAGGGTGATAAAACCAGAACTACTGTACATATTTGCTTTTGTAGGAGGGGCCAGTATAATTCAGTGTCACATTCTGAATGACAAGAGGCACATCGTCACCAAAGACACCAACAACAACGTTGGATTCTGGGACGTGCTGAAAGCCTGCAAGGGAGAGGACCTGGGGAAAGTAGAGTTTGACGAAGAGATCAAGAAGAGGTTCAAGCATGTCTATGTCCCAAACTGGTTCTCTGTTGACCTCAAGACAGGGGTAGGTTTTTAGGTTTATAACCTAGAAATACCACACTTACTCAATGCTGAATAGGTGAAGCTAGATGACATTGGTTGATGTTGTTTCTCCCTCCCTCTGTGTGTTGCCGGATAGATGCTGACCGTCACGCTGGATGAGAGCGACTGCTTCGCTGCCTGGGTGTCTGCTAAGGATGCTGGGTTCTCAAGCTCCGATGGATCGGACCCAAAATGTAAGATTTTTAGGTTTTCATTTTTAATATAACTTCTTCATATTAAATCGCTTTTTATTCTCTTTAGCTATGTTATGATATTGCAATGTTTGTGTGTGTGTGTAGTGAACCTTGGTGGACTGCTACTTCAGGCCCTGCTAGAGTTCTGGCCCAGGACACACCTCAACCCAATGGATGAGGAGGAGGATGAGGTCAACCATGGTAAACAGGCCTTGTTGTTCTCGTCTATGTATCCGGGTTAGGCCCAGAAGAAATGTCCATAGACTCACTATTTCATCATAGTAAATGATAATAGGACCAGTAAAAAAAAAAAAAAAGCTGGCAGAGATTTACATTGTGATAATAGTGACCTTTGACCTTGTCCAACCCCAGCAGCAGTGAATGGGGAGCAGGAGACGCGGGTGCAGAAGGGGAACGGGTACTTCCAGGTGCCTCCACACACTCCAGTCATCTTCGGAGAGGCAGGAGGGAGGACTCTGTTCCGGTACATATCTCAATTTTACGAAACCCATAACTAGCCTGCTAATATTGTTGCACTTGCTAAGTGTAGGGGTCCTAGCCTAGTTAAATGGTCTGTTACCGGACTCATTATGTCTAGGGGTCCTAGGTCTGCAACCTGAATGAATGTGTGTATTTGTGAGAAATCAGCGTTTGAGGACAGTGTTGGATGCACGTGTGTCCAGGGAGACTGCAACCTTACCTTAAGTCCAGGGCCAGCTCTGTCTTGACTCCTTTGGGTCGGTGAGCCCAAGCTGATTTATTATGGTGACGGAAACAAATATATACAGAAAGGAAAACTACAGACAGGCATGCCGAAACTAAAGATTCAAATTGAAAGGATTCACGACCACCAAACCAACCAGCAGCCTCACGGCCACCAAACCAACCAGCAGCCTCACATCTCTGCCAGCTGGGACACTGACTGACGATCACCTCAATTGGCAGCACCTGATGTGCTTATCAACCCGGCTCAGCATCTGGACAAGGTTGCTGCTGCCCCCTGTAGGAATGGAGTGTGGAAGTGTATCCTGGATATTGTGTTTGCTTATGACCTAACACTAACCCCCCCCCCCCCCCCCCCCATATCATAACACTACTATTATATAAATACATTTGATTGATGGATTATAGAAATTACGTCGAGGCCATATCATGCATGCTATCATTCATGTATGAATATGAATCTCTACCTGTTTTGACACAAAAAAACGGTCCTGTTTGCATTGTTTATTTCCCTTCCTGAACTGTTCTTCTAGATCTCCAGCTAGCCTATTCTAATATATAGTGTCCTGTTGCAGACTGCTGTGTAGGGACTCGGGTGGGGAGACGGAGTCTATGTTACTGAATGAGACAGTCCCACAGTGGGTCATAGACATCACCGTGGACGTAAGTACCTTTTTCAGTCTCAACTTGCGTTTTTACTTTTTTTTCCCCCATCAGACTTGATTCATACTTTACACTCTTTTCTTTCTTTCTCCTCCAGAAAAACATGCCCAAGTTCAACAAGATCCCATTCTACCTCCAGCCCCACTCGTCCTCTGGCGCCAAGACACTGAAGAAGTGAGTTTCTATTTAATTTTCTCCGTTTCATGTTTCTTCATAAGAAATCACTACATTCCTAATTTCGCATTGCCACACTTCGAAGTCCCTTATTAACATTTGGCTTTGAAGTTCTTACATGAATCCTTTATTCTGCTGTTGATCCTGTACAAAAAAAAAATACATCCTGGAACACACGGTTTGATCTCTGCACATAAATGTATTGTCAATGTTTCAGTCAAGAGATCAAGGTCCTACATCCCAGACACAAATCCACTGTCGTTGTGTGTGTGTGTGTGTGTGTGTGTGTGTGTGTGTGTCTCTGTAGGGACCGTCTGTCTGCCAGTGACATGCTGCAGGTGAGGAAGGTGATGGAACACGTCTATGAGAAGATCATTAACCTGGACACTGAGTCCCAGACCACTGCCTCCTCCTCTGCAGCCAATGACAAGCCAGGAGAGACTGAGAAGGATGACGACGTGGCCCTCATGGCCGAGGAGAAGATCGAACTCATGTGTCAGGACCAGGTGGGGACACGCTCCTAATTCTTCTGTAGTTTGGGGAGGAATGATGAAACGTCTTTGCTATTTAGTAAAGCTTATGGACCCCAGTTGTTGAAGGAGTGTGTTATCTGTTGCGATTTCCTAAGTATTTGAAAAAGTCCACTACTTGACAGCTTCACCTTTTGATGGCGGTTTGGGCAATGTAGTTGGTTGCCTCGATGTTGATTTGTAGTTATTTTGTTTTTGTATAACAAGTCATATTACAGTGTAATAATGGCCGTGATGACTGAAATGCATATCCACCTGACCCACGTCCTGGTTGGTCTTCTCTGCTCTCCCACAGGTCCTGGACCCAAACATGGACCTGCGAACTGTCAAGCATTTTATCTGGAAGAGCGGAGGGGACTTGACACTTCACTATAGGCAGAAATCTACGTGAGGCAGACACCTCCATTAAGGCATAAAGAGACAGTTTCTTCAAACACTGCCATCCTCCATCTTCAGCCCCAGTGACTGGCTGGCCAGGAGAGGTCAGACATATATCCCTGAGGAGCACCCACCCACTATGTTTATCAGGGTCGTATTCATTAGACACCAAACGGAAGAAACCAGGGACTGTCTGAATTTGTCCAATAAGAATAGCTCTTTTTCATTTGCCGTTGTAGAATATTTTGCTACGTTGTGTATTATTGAATACAACCCATAAACATTTGGGGAGAGGTTTCTCTGGCCATTTGAGGATGTGGGTGATTTCGTGTCATAGGAAACTCAACCGGACAGACCGGTGAAGCCGGGAGACTAGTGAAAGAGGTGAATGATGAATGCAGTTTTCTTTCTGCATACTGTGCTATAATGGAATGATCGATGAATCAAATGTTTTATCTAGCACTGTGTAGGTTATTTTTAAAACAATTTTTGTTGTCCTTTTGCTTTGTGGTGTCAGTGTTAAAAAAACAACAAAGAAAGAATAGTTCTGGAGCCATGGTAGTATGTCCGGGGGGGGGGGTCTATATATAGGGTACTGTTTGTTCTCGTACATTCCAGAAACAGCCCTTGCTCCTTCGCCAGTACACTATCGCTTAGTCCCAATACTCCGCCCTTCTTCCGAAGTGTGCACTTGCAGACGTAGCCTATCACTAGGACCTGGAGTTACTCCTCACCATGTGACCTGACCAGGGAAAAACTCCTGGTCCTAACTCCACCTACAGTGTACCTGGACAGCCTGACGCCCTATTCAAGCCAATCAACGTTCGTCCCTGACTGTATTGTTGTTCATGGCTTAATTCTCAGTTAGCTGAATTAGGATTGACTTCAGAGATTGAAACAGATATTTGTTTTGTTTGTTGTTTTATCAGGGTTTTTAGTTTTGTAAATAACATGCTGTATGTATAACATGAATTCACCTCCAAAATGTTGTTCTCGTTATTTTCAGGATGCTATGTTTTTATTATTATTATTTTTTGTACAGTTTTAAAAAGTCGGAGAAATTAACTTTATCAAAGGTTTTTGATTCAAGGTTTTTTTTTCTTCTTCTTCAGAATCCTGAGAAAAGCACACACACACGATATCAAAAGGACAACATCACAATACAGAATTCCTAGCCTGGTCCCAGTTCTGTTTGTGCTGTCTAGCCAACTCGTACTGTCATTGTCGACAATGATCTGGGACCAAGCTACAGATTTTCAAGTTGATAGGGCGGCAGGTAGCTTAGTGGTTAAGACCGTTGTGCCAGTAACCGAAAGGTTGCTGGTTCTAATCCCCGAGCCGACTAGGTGAAAAATCTGTCGATGTGCCCTTGAGCAAGGCACTTAACCCTAATTGCTCATGTAAGTCGCTCTGGATAAGAGCGTCTGCTAAATGAATGATGAAATGATTCTAAGAATGTTTGTAGTTGTCTACGTCATCTAAGCATTCAGGAGACAAACAAGGTATTTCTTAAATCACACATTTTAACGTTGGGCACGTGCTTTTTGCATCGGGTGGACGAAGCTTACACATTTTTAAGTGAAATCTCCACCCACAGTGATGAAGAAGAAAAAAACATCGCACTGAGACTTTTGTTTTATGATCATGATCCAATATGAATATATTCACATCTTCCATGAGGGCTATTGTATAATGTTTCATAAAGCTAGACAGTAGTTGGTTCTAAGATGTTAGTTTATAAAAACCATCTCAAAATCTACAGGGTTTATACATAAAACCTAACTGCGTAAAAAAATCGTTAAAAAAACCATGAAATTGAATATGTAAAATCATAGATTGGATGAATGCACACTGACTTGGGATGAGTGAATAACTAGTTTGAGTAAGTTGTCTTTATTTTTAGTTTGTTAGTTAGTTACTTGTTTCCCCCTCACAAGAAAGAAGTGTATCAGTAACGCATTACTACGGTGATGAGTTTTAAGAGGAAGCCCCAGTACAGGGTCGACCATAGAAATAGAATTACTCAAATAATTACATGTCTATGGAGTAGACGGCAAGATGCCATATCCTCACAATCTAGAATATTTATATCCCGTTGGTTGGAACTACTGGTGGGTGATGGTGGTGATGATGTACATTTTGGGCTTGCAACAGCATATTAAATTTGAATGGTTTAACGTTGACTGACAGTATTGTATTTGTTAAATGTCTCACATTTCACCATTATTCTCCTGCTTATAAATGTATTAATGTCATGCTACAACTGCTCATAACGTATTAATAACATCTTAACGTATTAATAGCACGCTATGCTGAAATGCAAAAGTTTAGAGAAAAACAATACAGGCAAAAAATTAAATTGTGACAATTTTTATTTTCCTATTTTTGTTCCAGTGATGAGAAGTGATTCAATTTTTGCATCAAAAGTTTTACAGAGAATATTCATCAATTTTCACAATCAGATTTTCATTTGCACTCATTCTTAACAATAAAACACTCTCTCCATCCATTGATAAAATATTAGCAAAAATACTTTCCCGCAACCAAACACCTAGCCTAAATAAAAAAAAAAAGAACAAAAAGAACCTTCCCTTACAGAAAAGCATTTGCACAAAACCTCTATATTAAGCTAACAACAGTAGTGTCACTATTTCATCAGAAGCTACTGTGCAGGGTTGGGGTTAATTCAGAAAGCATTGAAGATAATTTGATATTTCAGTGTACTTCTTGAATTGACGAATTGAAATGGAATTGACCCCAACCCTGATACTGTAGTGACGTTGTGGTTCCAGCTTACATATACAGATGACTTCCATGATGGCTACAGTATGTTGCCTACAGCAAAAAAGTTACAAAAACTACAAACATGGCCGACAATTGCATAGATCACAAAAATGATGACGCTGATAAGAGGTAACGTGGAGGAATGACTTTACAAAATAATGACCTTTCACCTTTTGTAGGCTGTACAGAAATGTAGGTACAGAAATCCATAAAATTACACTGTTTAAAAATACATGCACTGCAACAAAAGCCGGGATTCAATCCGATCATTCGGTAGATTTTAGATTTAGTGCGCTTGACATTCAAAGGTAATTTACTATTGAGCCAACATATGCAGTGTTTACCGTGAATGCGAACATTGCCTTTAAAAGGTGCATAGCCGACAAAACGCGATCTGATTGAATCTGGCCCGTAGGCTACAGAAATCCATAAAATGACATTGTCCAAAAAAAAGAAATGCACTTTAACTTATTGAAACAGTTCTTACCTCTCCTTCTTAAGAAAGTACAGATTCAAATTTCTTGAGTTTAAGAACTAAAACCCGATCCCAAATTAAAATGTCCCTCTTTTTTAAACACAGCACTAACAACAATTGCTATATTTGATGCTTTAAAAACAAGAACAATAAAAACTAATTAATTGGAGACTTTTTCAAATAATTTCAACTTAATTTTACATGGATTCCCATAACAGTAACTCTGAGGAAGACGTCACCTGTTCTCATCCTGTACAATGGATTAAAGTGAGCTACAATAAAATCAACCAGACTTTTTTTGTTGAGCGCTCCAACTCCTTTCTACCTCTTCCTAGTCCTTTTAGAAGTTTTTCTTGGTTTCATGGTTTTAGTCATTGTTGCTCCTTTTGGTTGCTGTAGTGCGAAGGTTCACCTGAACTCGTAAAATAAAGCAACCCTTCCAAATGATAGATGTTTTAAAAAGAGCAAAGAAGCTGTACCTGATTGATTATATGCTAAATGGCATATTATTATTATTATTATAATATAGACGCCACGAGGTACTGAACCTGGGTCAAGTATGTATGTAAAAAATATATATGTCAAATAAATGTTTGAGATGCGCTTAATTTAGCTTGAAGTTTGCACTTTTGAGACTATTCCATTGTACCTGGCAAACTAACCTCGGAAGCCCAGGCTTCTCACGTCGAGTCAACGAGACGGGATTTGGAAGGAGGACCATGCAAGACTACTGGCACACTGAATCAAGCGCAGCTCAAGTATTTGAATGTATTGGACCCAGGCCTATGAGGTCCACTATTTGTCAAGTAGTGTATTTCAACAGAGATTGTAAAATTACAGGACTTTTAAAAAGTGGTGTTGTTATTCACATACGTTGTTGTCACAAATAGAATACTAAAGGTGCAACTGTGCTTTGAGATTATACATCACAGGTCTGTGTCGTAGTGAATTCTATAAAGTAGTTCAACTTAAGAATATAATTAATGTATTTATCGGTGTGTAATTATCTTTGGATATATAACACGGCCATTCCATTAATGGATTTTTTTTTTTTTTTTTTTTTGAAATTCAAAACAATAATAAAAAAACATTCTAATTTTTTACACTAAAACAAACGACAACATTTTCATAATAACATTACATTGCAACCCTTATGGCTAATCGGAGCATTAAGCAGAACTTGTAACTTAGGATCTTATACCCAAAAATACAAGAGGGCTATTGCTATGTATTTCTACTTATGATCTCTCTCGTGACCCTTCGAACCATTCAACCAGTCATTCAAAAACTGTACAACGTTCTCTCGGACCATGCCGTCTTACCAATTGTAGACTGTGTATGCTAACATTCACTCTTATACCAGGGGCCTGTTCAGTAGGATGCAAAGTCACAGAACGTTCAGATAGAAATGTATAGTGTAGAACAGACATGAATCATCATCATATACAATTGGGGAACTGTGCCCAGCTATATTCATTACATTTCTATCTAGTTCTATTTAGCATTTCACCTCACCTAAATACATCACCCAGGTCTTTTCACCAACGTTCTGTAAATGCCCCATGTTGTTTGATTGCTCAGCATCTCTGCTAGTGTTTCTTCAGGCAGTGACCAGACCCGGCAGGAAACACACAAACCTACTCCTCCACCACTTCCTGGTTGCTCACCTCATGCTCGTGGTGGTGGTCATGGCAACACTCGTGGTTGTCATGGTGGTGTTCCGCTGCGGTGGTTTCCGACTGTTCCACAGAGAGTTGCTCCAGTGAGCCGATGACGTCTGGCTCTAACATTGGCTCTGGTGTTGTTCCATCCAATGTGACGTCCTCTTGAGTGAGAGAGTCCCCCACCAAGAGGTCACTGACCTGGGGCTGAAGCAGGAGGTCGGCCAGGGGCTCTGGCTGGAGCTGGTCCTGGGGAAGGCTGGTCCTGGGGGAGGGGAGGGGGAGAAGGAGGTGACGTCTGGGTCTGGGAGAGAGGCTTCAGCATCAGCAAGAGGAGGGGCAAATGGAGCCTCCACAACTGTGTCAGGGGATCCAGCGGATTCGGACATTAGGTCTTGTGATTCGGTGGGCAGGATAAGAGACTCCTGAGGTTCAGTCTCCATCTGGTTCTCTGGTGGCTTCTCAGGAATCTCACTGTCACCCAGCTCTTCTGTACGAACAGAGAGGAGAGACAGTCAATGTCGGGACTACGGAGATTCATTGTTGGACAAATTGGTTGCAGCAGTATGAAAAATAGTGTTTGACTGATAAGGGTCTATCGTTTCACATTGTGATAATAAATATCAACAACAGTATGTCTTGTTATGACACGGCAACCAATTGAAAATACAAACACTACCAAAACAACAGATGTTATTGCTAACTTACCGATGCCGGAGAGGTTGTCGTTGTCCTTTTCCTCGTGCACATCCTCGTGCACGGCCAGAGAGGTGCCGGTCATGTCGATGGACGAGACAGACAGGTCCAGCCGATCAGCCATGTCTTCTGATGGGTCAGGGGTCATCATAGCCACCTCAGACTCAGAGAAGCCTGGAGGAACACAGAGACACTGATTTAGAACCTAAAGGTTCACTTTCTTACCAGGCGAAAAGGCAAACATTGGCAGTGCACAGAGGTAGTTAAAGATGAAAGGAAAAGTCAACGACACAGAGACTGCATCAATAGAACAGTCTCACAGATTCAGAACCTAACCTCAGTAACCAGGAACACAGAAAGACCGATTCAGAACCTAACCTCAGAAACCAGGAACACAGAAAGACAGATTCAGAATCGAACCTCAGAAACCAGGAACACAGAAAGACAGATTCAGAACCTAACCTCAGAAACCAGGAACACAGAAAGACAGATTCAGAACCTAACCTCAGAATCCAGGAACACAGAAAGACAGATTCAGAACCTAACCTCAGAATCCAGGAACACAGAAAGACAGATTCAGAACCTAACCTCAGAAACCAGGAACACAGAAAGACAGATTCATTAGTTAAAGGGCCAAACAAAGCAAACATGGTCAGAGGTCATGGAAGATGAAACAGTAAAGACAAACAGAGTAATCAGAGTCTTTGTTTCTGTCTGTGTGTATGATTGTGTTGTGCTGTGCTGACCCAAGGAAGAGTAGCTATTGCTAAAACACTCGTTAATATAAGGATCCCCCCCCCCCCAGAAAAATAGACAAACATTTTAATGAACTGCTATTTCATTTATGGCTTTATATGTGTTGACTGAATATGTGTTTTTATAATGATCTATGGTGCGTTTGTAAATTCACTCTGGAGTGTCAGAGTGCGCTCTGGGTGTTCGTAAATTCAGAGCATTGTCAGGTTGTCCATTAGTAAATTCAGAGCATTTTGCTCTCGGCGCGTTCAGAGGGCACACTGGACGCTCTGGCCGAGGAGTAGGGTTGATCCAAGCGTTCAGACCTCACAACGGCAGTCAAGCACCCAAGCTAACTGGTTAACATTGGCTAGCTTGCTAGCTACTTCCAGACACAAATGAGAGAACACCTCACTCTGACCATTTTACTTACCCTAGCAGAGCTGGTTAGGCTGTTTTCATGTTATCCAGTGAGTTGGTGACTGTAACTGTGCTGCTGGCAACAATTGAATTACTATATTTTGCTGACGTTTACTGACACCGGCCATATTCAACGGGTGATGAGCGTTCATAAATTCATCTGTTATTCTGCGCTCTGACACACAGAGGAGAGAGTAGACAGCCAGAGCGTATTTACGAACGCACCCCCTAATAAATCAATTAACCAAAATCAACCAACTAATCAGTCAACCCACCTGGATCCATGACTCCCTGTAACCAACCAATCAGTCAACCCACCTGGATCCATGACTCCCTGTAACCAACCAATCAGTCAACCCACCTGGATCCATGACTACCTGTAACCAACCAATCAGTCAACCCACCTGGATCCATGACTCCCTGTAACTAACCAATCAGGATCCATGACTCACTGTAACCAACCAAAGTCAACCCACCTGATCCATGACTCCCTGTAACCAACCAATCAGTCAACCCACCTGGATCCATGACTCCCTTAACTAACCAATCAGGATCCATGACTCACTGTAACCACCAAAGTCACCCACCTGGATCCATACTCCCTGTAACCAACCAATCAGTCAACCCACCTGGATCCATGACTCCCTGTAACTAACCAATCAGGATCCATGACTCACTGTAACCAACCAATCAGTCAACCCACCTGGATCCATGACTCCCTGTAACTAACCAATCAGGATCCATGACTCACTGTAACCAACCAAAGTCAACCCACCTGGATCCATGACTCCCTGTAACCAACCAATCAGTCAACCCACCTGGATCCATGACTCCCTGTAACCAACCAATCAGTCAACCCACCTGGATCCATGACTCCCTGTAACTAACCAATCAGGATCCATGACTCACTGTAACCAACCAAAGTCAACCCACCTGGATCCATGACTCCCTGTAACCAACCAATCAGTCAACCCACCTGGATCCATGACTCCCTGTAACTAACCAATCAGGATCCATGACTCACTGTAACCAACCAAAGTCAACCCACCTGGATCCATGACTCACTGTAACCAACCAATCAGTCAACCCACCTGGATCCATGACTCCCTGTAACCAACCAATCAGTCAACCCACCTGGATCCATGACTCTCTGTAACCAACCAATCAGTCAACCCACCTGGATCCATGACTACCTGTAACCAACCAATCAGTCAACCCACCTGGATCCATGACTCCCTGTAACCAACCAATCAGTCAACCCACCTGGATCCATGACTCCCTGTAAGCAACCAATCAGTCAACCCACCTGGATCCATGACTACCTGTAACCAACCAATCAGTCAACCCACCTGGATCCATGACTCCCTGTAACCAACCAATCAGTCAACCTACCTGGATCCATGACTCCCTGTAACCAACCAATCAGTCAACCCACCTGGATCCATGACTCCCTGTAACCAACCAATTAGTCAACCCACCTGGATCCATGATTCCCTGTAACCAACCAATCAGTCAACCCACCTGGATCCATGACTCCCTGTAACCAACACATCAGTCAACCCACCTGGATCCATGACTCCCTGTAACTAACCAATCAGGATCCATGACTCACTGTAACCAACCAAAGTCAACCCACCTGGATCCATGACTCCCTGTAACCAACCAATCAGTCAACCCACCTGTATCCATGACTCTCTGTAATCAACCAGTCAGTCAACCCACCTGGATCCATGACTCCCTGTAACCAACCAATCAGTCAACCCACCTGGATCCATGACTCCCTGTAACCAACCAATCAGTCAACCTACCTGGATCCATGACTCCCTGTAACCAACCAATCAGTCAACCCACCTGGATCCATGACTCCCTGTAACCAACCAATCAGTCAACCGACCTGGATCCATGACTCCCTGTAACCAACCAATCAGTCAAACCCAACTGGATCCATGATTCCCTGTAACCAACCAATCAGTCAACCCACCTGGATCCATGACTCCCTGTAACCAACCAATCAGTCAACCCACCTGGATCCATGACTCCCTGTAACCAACCAATCAGTCAACCCACCTGTATCCATGACTCTCTGTAACCAACCAATCAGTCAACCCACCTGGATCCATGACTCCCTGTAACCAACCAATCAGTCAACCCACCTGGATCCATGACTCCCTGTAACCAACCAATCAGTCAACCTACCTGGATCCATGACTCCCTGTAACCAACCAATCAGTCAACCCACCTGGATCCATGACTCCCTGTAACCAACCAATCAGTCAACCCACCTGGATCCATGACTCCCTGTAACCAACCAATCAGTCAACCCAACTGGATCCATGATTCCCTGTAACCAACCAATCAGTCAAACCACCTGGATCCATGACTCCCTGTAACCAACCAATCAGTCAACCCACCTGGATCCATGACTCCCTGTAACCAACCAATCAGTCAACCCACCTGGATCCATGACTCCCTGTAACCAACCAATCAGTCAACCCACCTGGATCCATGACTCCCTGTAACCAACACATCAGTCAACCCACCTGGATCCATGACTCCCTGTAACCAACCAATCAGTCAACCTACCTGGATCCATGACTCCCTGTAACCAACCAATCAGTCAACCCACCTGGATCCATGACTCCCTGTAACCAACCAATCAGTCAACCCACCTGGATCCATGACTCCCTGTAACCAACCAATCAGTCAACCCACCTGGATCCATGACTCCCTGTAACCAACCAATCAGTCAACCCACCTGTATCCATGACTCCCTGTAACCAACCAATCAGTCAACCCACCTGGATCCATGACTCCCTGTAACCAACCAATCAGTCAACCCACCTGGATCCATGACTCCCTGTAACCAACCAATCAGTCAACCCACCTGGATCCATGACTCCCTGTAAGCAACCAATCAGTCAACCCACCTGGATCCATGACTCTCTGTAACCAACCAATCAGTCAACCCACCTGGATCCATGACTCCCTGTAACCAACCAATCAGTCAACCCACCTGGATCCATGACTCCCTGTATGGGTGGAGGTAGAGGACTGTCATCCTCTTGCAGAGTGATCTGTGCCAGTGTGTTTTGTCGGTCTGTTATCTCTGCTCCCTGTCCCAGGCGTGGGCCGGACTGACCCACCATCAGAGACGCCTGGGGATCACACAGCAACAACCGATAACAGTTGATTTATTCATTCATTCATTTATTTGACAGGGGCAATGCACATCAATTAACATTTGTGTAAATTTGCCTGGTTTAGCCAGATGAAATCATAGGTGGACTATGGATCTGTCTCCGTCCGTTCGTTAGTCACACGCGATATCTCAGACACCACAGGGCCGATTTTGACGAAACTTGGGTGAATGGTGCATCTTGCCATAGAGATCCGGCATTTACAAAATTACACTGATTGGCCCAAGGGGGACGGAATCTACTGCAATTCCAAACTTTGAACAAGCATATCTCCTGTCCTGTTTGAGCTACAGTCATCTCGTTTTCTACATATACACTGAGTACAAAACATGACAGACTGACCAGGTGAAAGCTATGATCCCTTATTGATGTCACCTGTTAAATCCACTTCAATCAGTGTAGATGAAGGGGAGGAGACAGGTTAAAGAAGGATTTTTAAGCCTTGAGACATGGAGTGTGTATGTGTGCCATTCAGAGGGTGAATGGGCAAGACAAAATATTGAAGTGCCTTTGAACAGGGTATGATAGTAGGTGCCAGGTTTGTGTCAAGAACTGCAACGCTGCTGGGTTTTTCACGCTCAACAGTTTCCCGTGTGTATCAAGAATGGTCCACCACCCAAAGGACATCCAGCCAACTTGTACCCAACTGTGAGAAGCATTGGAGTCAACATGGGCCAGCATCCCTGTGGAACGCTTGACACCTTGTAGAGTCCATGCACCGATTAATTGAGTCTGTTCTGAGGGCAAATGGGAGGGTGCAACTCAATATTAGGAAGGTCTTCTTAAATGTTTGGTACACTCAGTGTATGCATCTCGTCATCAGAAACAAGTTTCCCCATAAGGACCTTGATCGGCTCTTTCTCCCCCTCTCATGAATACAACGCAACATAAGATTTAATAATTGTCACTGGGGAAGGAGGACAGACGAACAGACAACATGTTTACTGTTGTCATCTGTAGACATTTAATATTGCAGATAGGTAGAGTGCATTATGATGTATTATAATGCATTGCAAGACTTGTCATAAGCATGTATGATAGCCTTGTAATGGGGTAACGGTCAGCCTTGTCACTAGGAGGCCTGTAGGTTCATGTGTTATTACTGTACAAGTGACTGGCATAGTGGCATTCCCTCTGTCTTATTCCTATAATTGTAGTTGTAGTGAAACACAACGAACCCATCCATACCTCTTCGTATCCATTGGTGGGTATCTCTGGTGTGGTGCCATCTTCAGGTAGAGAGGGAAACGTGGTCGGGATCCTGTGCAAGTAGCCGTATCCGATACCACAACCCAAACTAAAAACAACAAATATCAGTTAGTCTGCTGCTGTTTCAGAGCCTTGGCATTTAGGCAGTACAGAATAACCTCAGAGAGAGAGAGAGCCCAGATAAGACCCAGTGGCCCACTCACCTCCCCTCTCCTCCCCAGGTATGGTCAAGGTAAACCCCAGATAAGGCTCAGCCCACTCACCTCCCCTCTCCTCCCCAGGCCCCGTTGGGTGTGACCACCACCTCTCTGCAGGCATCCGTCTCTGTGTTGTAGATTAGCAGCTTCAGAGGTTTCCCCTCGTGGGCCTCAATCAGGGAAAAGAAATCCTCCGACTGAGGATAGACACCGAGATTACAGTGCCCATGTTTATTGCAATGGGTTATTTTCCCACTAAATTAAAGGCAACAATCTAGTCATCTTAGTTAACAACCTTAAAACGTTAAGAAGAAGAACGTGAATGACAATAATGAAGCTTACATCCTGCAACACCTGGTCTGCTCCGACGATGAAGTCACTGTGGGCCTGAAGGCTGGCCAACGCAGCCGGTGAGTTAACATCCACATCCTATAGGGAAAATAAACACACAGAATAGCATGATGTCAAACAACATCTTAGGATCTCCCCACAGACAGACACACGACTGATCACACCACAGATAAAACTATAACTAGTTGTAGAAATTGTAGTGGCGCGTATGTTATCTACTACTAGCTAATCATAGCCTCATCGACAGCCAGGTAAGTCCTCACCAGCACATGCCAGACGTTCTCGTTGGCTCCCTGGTAGCTACAGAACCTGACAGAGGCCCCCAGCAGGCCCTGTCCTCCCCACATGTTACTGGGCACCACCTCCACCTCCCTCAGCTTCATGGTCTTGGTGCTGTACACCTCCATCATCACCGCCTTCTCCACGTTAGCCTTCAGAAGGTCCTTTAGCGTGTCATTCTCCTGGTTCTGGACACAAGTTAGTTTGTCAGTTGTAAATATGTTGTAAGTGTGCAATACATGGGTGGGGGTCGTGTGTGATAGATAAAATATGGATGGATGGATGGATGGATGGATGGATGGATGGATGGATGGATGGAACAGAGTATCTAAGATCTATTTTATATTAATCCAAGGTCTGCAAAATAAATAAATAAGATGGTATCACAATGCTCTGACTAACTCACCAGTCTGTGGTCTCCTAGAGAGAGGATGAATCTGACTAACTCACCAGTCTGTGGTCTCCTAGAGAGAGGATGAATCTGACTAACTCACCAGTCTGTGGTCTCCTAGAGAGAGGATGAATCTGACTAACTCACCAGTCTGTGGTCTCCTAGAGAGGGGATGAATCTGACTAACTCACCAGTCTGTGGTCTCCCAGAGAGAGGATGAATCTGACTAACTCACCAGTCTGTGGTCTCCTAGAGAGAGGATGAATCTGACTAACTCACCAGTCTGTGGTCTCCTAGAGAGAGGATGAATCTGACTAACTCACCAGTCTGTGGTCTCCCAGAGAGAGGATGAATCTGACTAACTCACCAGTCTGTGGTCTCCTAGAGAGAGGATGAATCTGACTAACTCACCAGTCTGTGGTCTCATAGAGAGAGGATGAATCTGACTAACTCACCAGTCTGTGGTCTCCTAGAGAGAGGATGAATCTGACTAACTCACCAGTCTGTGGTCTCCCAGAGAGAGGATTAATCTGACTAACTCACCAGTCTGTGGTCTCCTAGAGAGAGGATGAATCTGACTAACTCACCAGTCTGTGGTCTCCTAGAGAGAGGATGAATCTGACTAACTCACCAGTCTGTGGTCTCCTAGAGAGAGGATGAATCTGACTAACTCACCAGTCTGTGGTCTCCCAGAGAGAGGATGAATCTGACTAACTCACCAGTCTGTGGTCTCCTAGAGAGAGGATGAATCTGACTAACTCACCAGTCTGTGGTCTCCTAGAGAGAGGATGAATCTGACTAACTCACCAGTCTGTGGTCTCCTAGAGAGAGGATGAATCTGACTAACTCACCAGTCTGTGGTCTCCTAGAGAGAGGATGAATCTGACTAACTCACCAGTCTGTGGTCTCCTAGAGAGAGGATGAATCTGACTAACTCACCAGTCTGTGGTCTCCTAGAGAGAGGATGAATCTGACTAACTCACCAGTCTGTGGTCTCCTAGAGAGAGGATGAATCTGACTAACTCACCAGTCTGTGGTCTCCTATAGAGAGGATGAATCTGACTAACTCACCAGTCTGTGGTCTCCTAGAGAGAGGATGAATCTGACTAACTCACCAGTCTGTGGTCTCCTAGAGAGAGGATGAATCTGACTAACTCACCAGTCTGTGGTCTCCTAGAGAGGGGATGATTCTGACTAACTCACCAGTCTGTGGTCTCCTAGAGAGAGGATGAATCTGACTAACTCACCAGTCTGTGGTCTCCCAGAGAGAGGATGAAGTCAAAGAATGGCTCCAAACCAGCTTTTTCTGCAGGGGAATTCTCCTGCACCTATCAGTTTACCACGTGGACATAGGAAGACAAAACACAACCATTGAATCCAATGTTTTGCTATGATGCATAGGTCCTTAATGTTATCATCACTATCACTGTCATTACTGGTTATTACATATAGCCTATACCATAGTTCCACACCTCTAGAATGTGATTTAGGCCATACAGTATTAATGTACATTTCCGGTACAAAATGTACAGGCATGTAGAAAAACAATAACATTGGTCTTGAGTATACTAACATCAGATGGTGTTGTTGATCAATAAATCAAATCAGATTTTATTTTATTGGTCACGTACACATATTTAGCAGGTGTTATTGCGGGTGTAGCGAAATGATTGTGTATAATCTATGTACTGGTTCAATTAAGTTGTGTTGTGTTTTGCAGCATTGTATGTATTCCAGCTATGCTGTTTTGCAACATTGGGCTTCTGCAGATGGCAGCAGTCACAGAGGCAGCGACAGAATTTGAACGGTTACATAAATGTTCCTCTCAGGCGAACGTCCTGGCCCAAATACAGTAGGTAGCTATCTAGATTAGTAAACTCAACTTCATATATGGAGTTGAGTTTACTAAGCTACTATCTAGCTAACTCGTGTAGCTATACACATTTATTATGTAAATGCATGCATGAAAATGTGTAAATGTTGTCATTTGTCACCACTAGGCCTATTATCTACAATAGCTACATCGACTTCGACTGGTTTAAGTTTTGTTACATTGTAGCTAGCGCACCTGGTGTTCATTCATAAAAAAAGAGAAAGCGATCGTAAACAGTCTATGCACTATGCACAGAGTTATTATGATCGATTGTTCTAGCTCGTAAATCAATGTGATGTCGATGTGTTGTCGTGCGCCAAAGAGGTAGCTAGCTAAGTGCCACCTCATCAGCTTTCGGCTGGCCTTATCTGGCTACTACACCACTTATGCCTTCTGGATACTACTGTAAATTCGCCTTTCAAAGAACTGCGGTCAAGAACTACACGCTGCATCATAAAAAACGTGCAATAAAATAAAGACGCATTATTACCCCGTGCACGTGGTATCCATCTGTTCCTCCTTCCGACACACCGGTGCTTTGTGATAAACCCATTTTTATAGAATGCACAAAATATTATTTCACTGTAGCTAGAAGAGTAGAACGATTCCCCTAACGCTCCGTGGCCATCTTGTCATTGGCGATCTCGTACATCAGACCAGACTAGTCGCAGGCTGGTGACACCGAGCACCACGTAGGTACAGTATGTAGAGCAACGATCTCATCGGTCACTTGACCCTCATTAATAATAATTATCCCTTTAGTGAATCCGGGACGGTTGTTGCTAACGTGCGCTAATGTGACTAGAACGACGTCTTAAGTAACAGCAAACTTTCTGGGACATAGACATGTCTTATATGGGCAGAAAGCTTCTATTCTTGTTAATCTAACTGCAGTAGCTATTACAGTGAAAAAATACCATGCTATCTCTGGGACCCTCATCCTGAGGGTCGCATAGTTTTGTTTGATCAAATCAATTTTTATATTCAAGTGTAGGAACTGGGTTCTACAGTTTGAACCCCTGCTGTCTCTGGCTCCACACCCACCCCGCCCAGGCCATCTAGATGTGTGAAAGTTAGTGTATAAGCTAATGATCCATCATGTATGACATTCCTGGGAGTGTGTAAACTTACATTTTGTATTACCAAATTATTGTTTTATGTTCTCTATAGTTATGTACTTGAAAATGTATCAATTGACCAATTCGGCACATTTGGGCAGACTTGATACAAAATGTTGTGCAGTATTGCAATGCTTCACTGGATCAGTCTGAAACTTTGCACACACACTGCTGCCATCAGGTGGCCAGAATCAAAATGGTGCCTAAACGCCTATATGATATCATGGCCTTTCTCTTGCATTTCAAAGATGATGGAACAACATTTTTTATAGAAAACGCATGTTTTTTTGTTTGTATTATCTTTTACCAGATCTAATGTGTTATATTCTCCTACATTAATTTCACATTTCCACAAACTTCAAAGTGTTTCCTTTCAAATGGTATCAACAATATGCATATCCTTGCTTCAGGTCCTGAGCTACAGGCAGTTAGATTTGGGTATGTCATTTTAGGTGAAAATGGAAAAAAAAAGGGTACGATCCTTAAGAGGTTAATTATAACCCTTTAGTGAATCTCTGGAGTACAGTAAATGAATGAAGTGATTTTAACAAGTCATTTTTTCACTAATTAGCTTATTATTTTAACTGGAATGATAACGTGTTGTTGGTGTTTTTAGTTCTGTCATGCATGCAGTACCCTAAAAAAGGAGAGCTCTCTGTTCCACATTGTTCCAAAAGATGTATGTTTATTCATAGATAAATGATTTGAGTTTGCTTTAAAATACAAGATTCAGTAACACATTGTAAATGCTAATATATTTCCATTAAAAATAACTTAAAAAGACAGACAATGCAAAACTTTCTTAAATACATGGAGCACATATCAGATTCCAACGATGGATGATATTTTGCAAAGCAATTACTTTTCAGTGTGTCAAACAAGGCAAATCAAATAAAAATAAGTTACCTATGGTGGAGGAGAGAGATGGATCTCCAATACATTAAACTAAGGCATTTTGACACAAATAAATAGCAATACATTTAGCTAAAATATTAAATGAATAAATGTTGTAATTCTGAATATTATGCAACCTTCTTGATCTTATGCGGATTGCAATTTAAACAAAACTTCACATGAATACAATTCATAAAAATAATTAATGTCTCCATCTGTCTCACGGTTCTTTCACGGTGATTACAGCAATACAACCCCTCAGTTAAAATGCATAAAGTAAATAAATTAATAAGCCATTTTCTTTTTTATGAATAATCATTTATAAATAACTGCTGGAAAGCACATCAAAAACGTGGACATCAGGAAACATGAGAAACACACAGTGTTATATCTTGTAGTGATGACATAATACTTGCTCATGTATAATATTCTGTCTAAATCATGAATAACCATAATGTGCCTCTACCTCAACAACATCACATTTAATACATCTGAATAAAATATCTCATACTATACATTAAAATATCTTATTAAAATACAAACTGTAGACTGTACATATTAAAGTACTTCTAGGCTCGTTTCAATGTCCATGAGCCAATCAGGTCCCACAAAACCCCGGACAGTTCAGCCCATTGGTCACTGAATCACCAGCTCTAATAGCTGATTGTCTGTGAATGAAGGAGTTTCTATTGGTTCAGATAAGCCAATCAGAGACTCCAGGAGGCAGGCGCCAGCTGTCTCATTGAACTGTGGGACATTTGCAGAACTCAACACCTGTAGATGCAGGAAGTTGTCCGGGTGCTTGTGACCTTTGAATGAGTTGTGTAGAGGGGCCGAGCTATAGTCTGTAGGGAAGTTGTCGAAGAGCTCCAAGTCCGAGTCAGAGGAGAGGCTGAGGTCCATGTAGCTGCTGGACGAGTAGTCTATGGAGGGAGAGGGTGTGTTGGGGTAGTCCTGGAGGGGACTGTGGGCGAACAGGGCCGTAGCTTGGTTGGCATTGTCGTCTTGATACTCGGCCATGAAGGAACCGCTGCGGCAGCTGTTGTCTGTGTGTCTGTGTGTCTTCTCTGTGTACCTTTGTGTATTGTCTGTGTGTGAACTGGGTGCGTTGGACAGGCCAAGGGTGGCTGTGGTGTCTTTACAGAGACCGTATGACGTGTCGAAGCTGCTGAGACACTGGGGAAGGTGTGGTGATGGTTGTCTGCCCGACTTTGTGTCACTTTCACTGCCCATGGAATAGTCCTCATTGTCAGAGTCACAGAAGCTGAGGACACAGGCCAGACCTCCATCATCCACATCCAAGAGAGGCTGGTGCTGTCGAGGGCTTCCTCCCACGTCGGAGTCCTCGCTCTGGGCAGAGAAGCCGGACGAGTCGGTCATGTCACTACAGCAACTATTCTCCCCAACCTCACACAGTTCAGAGCTGAAGTGGAAGGTAGGGGTGGTGGGGATGGAGAGAGGGAGGCCCTCTTCTTCCAAGGTGAACCCGAAGGGGCATCTCACCTCCTCCTGGGCACTGTCCTGCTGATGCTTCCCCTGATCCTGGAGCTTCTGGAGATCCTCTTGGTTCTCCTCTGGGTCTCTCCTCTGGGTCAGTGTCTCGTCCTGCAGTCTCCTCTCCAGCTCCAGCCTCATGACAGTGTGTATGTAGTGGGTCTGGACCCGTCTGGAGTTGAACTCCACGCGACCGTTAGTATTCCCACAACCATCCTTGGTGCAGCCGCAAGGGAAGTTGGAGTGGTCCATCTGTTGCGGAGAGAAATCACATTAGGTCTACTTTGACTGAACATCTTAGCACATTATATGACTAAAGTTTGCATCTGACCTAGGTGTGGGAGGGAATTCTAATTCATTGCCAAAAGGCTTTTGTTCATCAGGCTAAAACTCCCTGGGTTCAAACCCAGCCACTCACATCTGCATTTGCTCTCACCTGGCACTTGATCCCGTTCAGACTACAGGCGCAGGTCTCAGGTTCACAGAATCCCTGGCAGTCACATCCACAGTCCTCTCTGGATTTCCTCAGGGCATGGAGCTCTCTCTTCTCCTCCCGGTCGATGTGCCTCACCCCTGCCGCCCGGAGTAGGGCCTGTCTTTGGCGGGAAGCGTAGGGGTACAGGAACCCCCCGTCACCCCCATCCTCCCCATCCTCAAGGTCAGCCGCAGGGAGGAGGGCCTCGATGTCCTCGTCTGGGACCTGGTCGATATGATCGATGGTGAGGCGATCCAACTCCTCCTGGTCCATAGCGCCACTGGCTGTCAGCTGGAGAGAAGAGAGTTACTTAAAATATAATCTGTACACATAGGCCTTAACTTTTCCTTTTAAATGCTTTTAGAGTATTTTCAAGGAAGTCAAGGAAGATGAGATGCATGAAGTATCGGCCATCTAGGTCGTTCCATGTCATTTCAGCAAGCCATGACACCCACCATCTCAGATTGTTCTGAAATCATTTCTGTAGTTAGAAACGGATAAGATTAGCATTCCTGAAACATTATTTTGTTGAAATATAATTTGAACTCTGAGAAATTAAGCTAATTGATTGCACCCAAATTGCCCATAGGATCCATATAATATTCAATAAATATAAATATACCTAACATCTGATTTGGACCAAACTTTTTTTCTAACAATGAGTAAGACATGAGGAATCCAAAGAAATTGTCAAAAACCACCCACGGACCCCCATCACCACCCACATACCCCCACACCCAAACCACCCACATACCCCCACACCCAAACCACCCACAGACCCCCACCCCAACCACCCACAGACCCCCCCACACCCAAACCACCCACATACCCCACCACCACACCCAAACCACCCACAGACCCCCCACACCCAAACCACCCACAGACCCCCCACACCCAAACCACCAACAGACCCCAACCACCCACACACCCCACACCCAACCCCACAACACCCACAAACCCCCCACCCCAACCCCACAACCCCACCCCACAACCCAAACCACCCACATACCCCCACACCCAAACCACCCACATACCCCCCCACACCCAAACCACCCACATACCCCCCACACCCAACCACCCACAGCCCCCCACACCCAAACCACCCACATACCCCCCACCACCCCAACCCACCCACAGCCCCCCCCACACCCAAACCACCCACATACCCCCACCCCAACCACCCACAACCCCCCACACCTGAACTAACCCAACAACGAGTATACAGCGGTGGAGGCTGGTGAGGGGAGGACGGCTCATAATAATGGCTGGAATGGAGCAAATGGATTGGAAACCATGTGTTTGATGTGTTTGATACCATTCCACTGATTCTGCTCCAACTATTACCGCGATACCTATGGTATATAGCATCAGTTCTCTATGTCTGACCAGTAGTATGGAGCTACGATTATATTATTTCTTCATCCTATGTAATCCTATGTAATGTAATGTAATCCTATGTAATCCTATGTAATGTAATCCTATGTAATGCAATGTAATCCTATGTAATGTAATGTAATCATATGTAATCCTATGTAATGTAATGTAATCCTGTGTAATGTAATGTAATCATATGTGATGTGATGTAATCCTATGTATTGTAATCCTATGTATTGTAATCCTATGTAATGTAATGTAATCCTATGTAATCCTATGTCATGTAATGTAATCCTATGTAATGTAATGTAATGTATTCTCAGTGAATTTGGTGATGTTTTCTTTTTACCCCTGTTCAGAAAGGAGTCATTGAAGCTGTTAGGTTTATGTCCTATCCTACATCCTGATATTACCGGATTGTGACCACAAGATGGTGCTGTTCTTCCCCCCTTCAATGTTAAAGAGATAGTTCACCCAAATTACAAAATTACATGTTGGTTTTCTTACCTTGTCAGCAGTCTATGGACAAGGTACGACAGCAACCCATGCTTTGGATTTATTTACCTGGCCACTGTTTCAAATGCTAACTTTTTTGTATTTGTGGCACAAATCCAATGCAAGTCAATGGTACCTATATTAGCATTTTCACGATTCAACAAAATAATGTTGCAGGAATGCTAATCTTATCAGTTTCTAACAACATAAACAAATTGCAGAACAATCTGAGATGGTGGGGGTTCATCCCATTTCCTGTGCTTTTTGACGTGGAATCACCCATCTTTGATTTGTTCAAAAGACATCAGAGAGACTGTGACACCTATGCATGCTTTATTCTGTAATATATACATGAAGTCTAAGTTACTGTAAGATTAACAGGACAGCATGCTTTTTAGTCCTGGGGTAACCTCAATCTGGGTCAAGGGAAACCGCCCGGGCAACGAGGTCTACAGTGCTCACTATTAGATTAGAAGTCTAGAATACTCACTCTCTGTCTGAGTGCCTCCAGCCTCTCCTCCCTCAGTCTATCTCTGAGTCTCTCCCTGCGCCTCTGTCGTCTCTCCTGGGTGTGCTCTGCCAGCGTGTACCTCCGGAGGGCGCTGTGCTTCCTCACCATGCCCAGGGTTGCACCGCCGCGCCTCGGAACGCTGGTGAAACCCTGGCAACGCCGGAACAGGAACACCGTCACCTGGTTGAAGGCAACACTGTTGCCATGGCTGCTGTTGTCATGGGAAAGTTTTGGGCTCTTCAGGATGGAGCGGACTGTTGGTGGAGGAGGAGGAGGAGGAGGAGGAGGAGGAGGAGGAGGAGGAGGAGGAGGAGGAGGAAGAGGAAACAGGGTTTAGAGTCACGACAAGAAGTTGGTGTATTCTATGCCTTTGTCAATGTCAGCTTGTTCGAGCTACTAAATATCACTTCTGTATGTTGTATGCTGAAAGTGCTGATCCTGCAGTTCTGTCAGCCGCCACTGGGTGGCAGACTATGACGCCTCAATCACTGTCAACGGTTACAAGTTACAACCCAGTGTTAACAACTGTGTCAACTGGGTCACCAGAGTTCAACATGGGGGGAGTTTATTTGTTAGAAACAAACACCAAGGAGTGTATCCACTGCAATAATGCAACAGAAGTCAAATGAGAGAGAATGAAGAGAGAGTAAGCCAGTGTCAACACAGAGACAGAGACCCTGCTTAGATTATAGTAAGACCCTCCAACCTCTCTGCAGATTGGTGAGAAGTACTAGTCACCCCACTACTAAGAGACTGTTAAAGACCCATCAGGTCACTGAAGACCCATCAGGTCACTGAAGACCCATCAGGTCACTGAAGACCCATCAGGTCACTGAAGACCCATCAGGTCACTGAAGACCCATCAGGTCACTGTTTCATTTGACCGTTTGGCCTCAAACCTCATGATAACGAGTCGTTTTTGACCTTCACACATGCTGGAGGTGGAGAAGGAACACAAAAGTGAGGAGGTTGGTAAAACAACCACTCAGCCAAGCTACGTAGTAACCTATTGTGTGTTTCAAATGGCACCCTGTTCACTATATAGTGCACTGCTAATGACCAGGCACCCTATTCCCTATGGGCCTTGATCAAAAGTAGTGCACTACCATAGGGAATAGGGTGCCATTTGGGACGCCGCCCCAGTCCTGCTGCTGTTATTCTGTCTACAGACATTCCACACTGGGGCACAGTATGTTTACAGTTGTGGGGGAGATGGTAGTTTCATGATTGATGAACTATTTATGAGCTATTTCACTTCCATACCGTAATGAATTTAACTCTCAATGTTCGTTGTGGAGAACAAATAATTATCACATGAAGTATGTTTTTTTGTCCGTGAAATCAAAATGTCAACCACAGACTAATAGACTATGTTGACCCTAAGGGAAGTGTGTCTATGTGCAAGATAGTGAATAAACAGAGGAACTGGAGTTCGTAGTGATCTTTGAATTAAATAACATTGAACCCCTATTTGCAGTTTAAGCATGATAACTGTAATCCACATTATACTGCTTTAGTCAAATGATTCAGTCAAGTCAGGGGCAAAGCCCAGTCCCTCAGAGAGAAGCCTATTCTCTGCTATCAGCAGGCTGCAGCCGGGCTGTAGTCTGATAACGGGACACTCCCTGGCAGTGACTCTGATAACAACAGTGTAGCTTTGCATTATTATAAAGAGAAGACTATGTTTATTGCAAGGTTATTGACCAATGACCATAAAAATATACATTAACATATACTGGGGGGGGGGGGGGGGGGGGCAGTATGAAAAATATATGCACTCACTAACTGTAAAATGACTAAAATGTAAAAATGTGAATATATATTCAAGGGGTTTCCTCATGAGATCTACTGGTCAAACGATTGTTTTAAGATTGCAATAACATGGATCATCAGGAGATGTGTTTAATGGAGCTACATCATTCTTATTGACTTACTGGGTAGATGGGAGGTAGGTGAGGCAGGGGTGAAGTCTTGGTTGTCACTGTTGCAGCTCTCCTCATCCGACTCCCATTCCGAGGAGGCGGAGGAGGAGAGGGAGGAGGAGGAGGGGGGAGAGGGAGAGGAGTAGGGGGGAGAGGGAGAGGAGTAGGGGGGAGAGGGAGAGGAGGAGGAGTAGCAAGGATCCTCCTCTTCTACCTCGGAATACTTCCTCTTCAGGACCCCACTCATGGCTTCTCTAAGGCGGTTAGACGATCTGCCTGAACACAAAACAGAAACAAGGATGGTTATTTTACAGTAATAATACACATTAATTCTGCAATGGTGATTAATGAATTCTGACTAACTGTAATACATGGATGTGTAATAGTGACTCAATAGCTCTTCTAAGGCACCGCCTTTTGCTGACTATATGTCTTGTGAAAACTGATGTATAACAATTAGTACTGTCAAAGTTAAGTTAACTTAAGTTAACTTTTTGTAATTTTAGTGCACTATTTATTTTATCGTGATTAATCGTATTGTCTGAAAAATCCATGTGATGTCAAAACAAGTTGACATTAAGGTTAAAAAAAGTGATTTTGCTAAACGTTACTTCAGACAAAATCAAGACGTCAATATTCTTGTAATGCTTTTTGTATATAAAATCTTACATTTGATCAAATTCTGAATTTGTGATTAATTGTGATTAATCACAGACAATCCTGCTATTAATTCGATTAATTTTTTATATTTTTATATTTTGACAGCACTGATCTATCCATGAGTCATACAAAATGCCGTACCTACTCACTCGGTGAATCAGTAGCCTACCGTAATAACTGAATGGGTAGGAGTGACTCACAAGCTTTTCTCAGACAACAGTCACTATTTCTAACGCATTTGCTGACTACTAATAGCTAATATCAGTCTGGTGAAAACTGAGTTTCACAATACCCATGGCTGAGTCATGCAAAGGGCAGTGACTGCTCAGTGACATTTACACTGCTCAATTTCACCCACAACATTTTCCATGTCAAACAGGTATCATAAGACATATGCAAAAAAAACTTCACTGGGACCGACTTTTCCTTTCCAATAACATTTCACGAACTGCCAACAATAAAGTATATCTCTGTCTCGTTGTCAATGGACAAAACCACAGCAGAGTAACTGGATAGTGCTTTTGTCGTTCATCGTGACACTCGCAGCACCGGGTAGGATCGTTATTTTCCAACCTCATTCCCTGACAGAGGTATCTGTACTGGTTTGACAGGTTTTAAAAGGAGGACATCTTGCTTATTTAAACTAATGAAAGCCACCCCTACAGATGATCCAACAACCACTGATAACTTACTTAGCCTAGATATTGATACACTATGTAATAAACATGCTCAATGACTATTGCAATCAAAAATTGATTTTGCTTTAGTAAAAGACAAGGGGAAAATACAGGCTAGGCTAAAACGTCAATAGCTCTTTCTGTCTTTCCTTCTCGTCATTAACATTCCAGTGATTCCAGTTACATTTTTCAGGAGGAAAACGTGGAAAGGGAGGGCTGGGAAACTGCGAGGGAGGGAGTCCAGGACGGAATATTTCTTAGGGGAAATGATGTCCGGAGCAGCTATTGGGAGTAAAGTGGAAACGAAGCCCACACAGAACAAACTGGTCTACTTAATAATTACAGACTTAGCTTGGGTTGAATACTACTGGAAATACATACTTAAATAGGCTCCACTGGACTCTTAAGTGTAAAATACAAGAGAGTAGAGCTGTGGTCTTCAACCTTTTCTTGCACATTTCTTTACCCATGTTTTATTAGGTGAATGATAATGACAAGGAGAAGTAATCAAACATTTTCAAATGAATAGATTTGGTAAATAATGTATAATGACTTTGACCTACGGTTATAATTGGAAGAGGACGTGTAAACTCTAACGTAGCCTATTAGTTAAAAAGGTAAGTAGCTGTTTAGCTGGTTAAAACAAAGGTTAGCCATGTGTTGGCAAACATGCATGTCCAAGTCAAGAAAGCTTACCAGCTTGCCACGACCAGTACTCACTGATGCATTTTCAAAGCCTGTCAGATACTCCAGTGAGTGTTATTCACTAAAGTTTCATCATCATTAGAAAGAAGATATTACCCTCTTCTATACTGTAGGTATGTAATTCAAAATTATTTGAATATGTTGTTTGTAGTGATATTCAGAAAAACATTTTTAAAAAACAATATTTTTCCCGCTTTTATTTTTTTTATTTTTTTGCAGACCCCCTACCCTTCTGCAGAACCCATAGGGGACTGTGGACTCCAGGCTGAATACCCCTGGAGTAGAGACTTCAAAAAAAACATGTTGTAGCAGAAAAGCACTCTACTCTAGTAATTTGAACTCTTGCCCTCCTGCCCTGTGCCAGCCCAGCCACTACAGAATATGTTTCCCCCTGTATCTACTACTAGCAAGGAATAAGATGAATCTACTACTAGGAAGGAATAAGATGAATCTACTACTAGCAAGGAATAAGAGGAATCTACTACTAGCAAGGAATAAGAGGAATCTACTACTAGCAAGGAATAAGAATAATCTACTACTAAGAAGGAATAAGAGGAGTCTACTACTAGGAAGGAATAAGAATAATCTACTACTAAGAAGGAATAAGAATAATCTACTACTAGCAAGGAATAAGATGAATCTACTACTAAGAAGGAATAAGATGAATCTACTACTAGGAAGGAATAAGAAGAATATACTACTAGGAAGGAATAAGATGAATCTACTACTAGCAAGGAATAAGAGGAGTCTACTACTAGGAAGGAATAAGAGGAATCTACTACTAGCAAGGAATAAGATGAATCTACTACTAGCAAGGAATAAGATGAATCTACTACTAGGAAGGAATAAGATGAATCTACTACTAAGAAGGAATAAGAGGAATCTACTACTAGGAAGGATTAAGATGAATCTACTACTAGCAAGGAATAAGAGGAGTCTACTACTAGGAAGGAATAAGATGAATCTACTACTAGGAAGGAATAAGATTAATCTACTACTAGGAAGGAATAAGATGAATCTACTACTAGCAAGGAATAAGAGGAGTCTACTACTAGGAAGGAATAAGATGAATCTACTACTAGGAAGGAATAAGATGAATCTACTACTAGCAAGGAATAAGATGAATCTACTACTAAGAAGGAATAAGAGGAATCTACTACTAGGAAGGAATAAGATGAATCTACTACTAGCAAGGAATAAGAGGAGTCTACTACTAGGAAGGAATAAGATGAATCTACTACTAGGAAGGAATAAGATGAATCTACTACTAGGAAGGAATAAGATGAATCTACTACTAGGAAGGAATAAGATGAATCTACTACTAGCAAGGAATAAGATGAATCTACTACTAAGAAGGAATAACTCAAGAACAGACTGTCCTGTCAGTGTCCACTATATAACTCTGACAGTATCCCAGGTAACCACACAGTGCACAGTGTCATACTCACGAATATAACTATCAGGACAAGGCAGTTCAGACTCAGAAAACATTTATATAACACATTGGATGCTAGGAATTTGTCTTGGTGTTATAGGAAAGAACACACCGTTTCTACAGAGAAGGAACTATCTCAAGTCTGGTTGTATGATAAGAGCGTCTGCTAAATGACTAAAATGTAAATGTATGACTGACTGCACTATCCATTTGTAGTCATTGCAAAGGTAGCACTACAATATGCCTATTTATAAACCCCGGTTAATTGGGTCCTGGATGCTGATTGGCTGAAAGCTGTGGTATATCAGACAATATTCCAGGGGTACGACACAAAATGACTTTCTACTCTTCTAATTACGTTGGTAACCAGTTTAGCTGTATCCAGGCACTCCACGTTGCATTGTGCAAAAGAACCATCCTTAGCCGTGGGATATTTGCCATATACCACACCTCCTCGGGCCTTATTGCTTAAATACAGTATGCATGCTGTTTCAAAATGAGTTATGTTTTTCTTCTCCTGTGATTTGATGGAAGTCTCTCCAAGAGACATTCTGTTCCTTGACCTCCAGGTCAAATTTTATGGTGAGTGTACAGGTGTGTGTGTGTGTGTGTGTGTGGAGAGGTGACTAATATAAATAATTCAATGACTCACAGCAGCAGAAATACCTGAATTGCAGTGTTGCATAGCACCGTGCAACACACACATATACACACACACACACACTAGAACCAAGATTTTACTCAAAGTGCCACTACTACTAAGTACCCACTGCCCCACTATTTGGCTTCCATCCCGTAATAAACGAGACCCAACTTCCGCCGCTGACCTCGTCACTCCGAGAGCTTCATGTGGTCGGTCATTAGGCCAGTACAATGAAGACATTGTGCTGGTCAGCCCAGCAGATAGTCACACTCAGCTGTTGCTGTTTGGGGTCGCTATTGCAAGACCCAACTACTGGTAAACACTATCAAGAGGTTTGTCTATATAAATAGCTTTCATACAACCAAAATCAAACTTAAAGCCTAAAAAAACAATATATTATTCTGCTTCTTTCATTTAAATGTAACATTCATTTTGACATTCGTGTAGGCTAATAATAGGAAAAAACACGAAATAGTTGTCCGCTTTTTGTTTCTTCTTATATAACTTTAAGACAACTTTCCCTCTTACACAAAGAAGCTTATCAAACACTCAGCATTATGACTGGTTACAAAACCGCTGAGGTTGAAATATGTTTTGGCTTTGCCACTAAACAGATGAAAAGACGCGTCATTAGTTAGGCTACTCACCAATAATATAAGATCACCATCTCCTAAATTCAATAAAATCAGTTATTAACCTGACGGTTTATAAAATCTTTCAAGGTTTCGTTTCTCCGTGGCACTGGATCGCTGACGGTGTCTCCTCTCTTGTTCTTCCTCTTTCTGCCTCTCTGGACGAGGCTACTGTAGTGTAGTGCGCATTTCAGCCGTGTGTTCGTCAGCGGAAAACTCCCACTGCGCGACGCTGACGCAGGCGGTCACACAGGAGAGGGGAGCGACACACAGTTCTTCCTGCTGCTGTTCACGTCCTGCTACTGCCTACAGCTTCCTGCATTGCCTTATCGGTTCAGATAGCATATAATAGACTATTCTGGACACTGCCTATGTCTTCATGCCTTGCCAACGACAGACAGATATAATAAAGTAGCCTACTGTTCTGTTTAATGCGGTGTGTGTTGCCTTCTCAGATGTAGATATATTGACTCAAATGCTCTGGAAGAAGCTCCA